GGGGGGGGTCGCCCCGCGGAACCGGCGCCGGATCTGCCAGACCCCCATCCCCCGGGGCACCGCAGGGCCTAGACCCCAGCCCTCTGGGTCCCCCTGGGGCGCGCAGAGGTTTCCGACTCAGCCTAGACCCTCCCAGCCCCTCTGGGTCCCCCTGGGGCACCAGGATGTTTCTGAACCAGATCTCAGATCTCCAGAGGCACCGGGATGTTTGTGGGCCTCGGAGCCAACTCCCTACACCTCCCTCCCCTTAGACCCTGGACCTCCCTTCGAGCCCCCAACCTGGCCCATGTTCAGGATCCCATCCAGAAATCGTGTGGGACTGACCTCAGCAGGGTGCTTCTGAGGATCCGGTTTCACACCCACTGGCGGTGCCCTTTGACTTATTTATAGTTGGCAACTGGCTGCAACATTGTATCCACACCTGACCCTGGAGGAAGCCTCCATCAACCAAATGGCAATAGGGGTCGTCCTAGAGGCTGTCCCAGGAACCCCCTCCCTCCAGCCTTCAGTCGCTGACCACAGACCCCTTCTAGCCATAGTCATAACTGGAGGACCAGCAGCCACCCGAGCCCCCGCCCACACGTGGCAGGTGGCTGAGCCAGGGAGGCCTGCCCAGGCCCAGGTGCTGTAACCAGGACAGAGCCATCTGCAGTCCACTTAAACCTGTGTGGCCTGGTGCCTGCTCAGGCCCTGGGGTCCAAGCTGGACTTTCTAAGCTTGAAGAGTTTCACTGGAAACCTATATGAACAGTCAGTGCAGCTGCTAACCTTTAAGCCTGTTCTGAGGGAACCTTGTGCCCTCCTACCTCAGAACTTACCACAAGTCCACAAGCTGCCTCAGCTGTATGAGCTGCTGACCAGTCATTTTGCTCCACCCCAGGCCTGTTAATAGCTCACTACAGGGTTAACACACATAGGTTACAGAGCGGCTTCAGATGGGTGGAAGAGACCGCAGGAAGCCAGAAGGCTGAGCTGATGGTGGAGGCAGGGGAGAAAGCCAACGGACAGGAGGGAGGGAAGCCCTCACCAGAGCCTGGTTGAAGTCTCCCCCAGCTGAAAGCTGATCTCAACACTAATAAAATTCGCTTTGACTATTTTCTACAGAGATTTCATTTTTATAGATATTTCATATAAGAATGTTAAAATAATAGGCATGCCTAAAGGCTGCGTGCGTGTGACCTTTAACGTTATTCCTTTCCCAACTGTAACCCTGTAATTTAGTAAATTTCTCAGTTATGAACTTTGTTTACAGACAACACACACACACACACACACACACACACGTCCTAAGTGCTCTGTGACCTAGCTTAGCAAGAGCTCCTTCCACCCTTTGACTTATATATTCTTTTTATCAGCCTGTAATCCTGCCCAGCACTAATCAGGAACCATCCTGCAGTCTCATCTACTAAAAGAAAAACGTTCCTTAAAACATTTTAAATATGCCATGGTGGCTCAGGCCTGTAATTCCAGCACTCAGAAGGCAGGAGGGTTACTACAAGTTTGAGAACAGCCTGGACTACAGAGTGAGATCCTGTCTCAAAAACAAAACAGACTTTCAAAATAATATAAACTGGGTGTGGTGGCGCACGCCTTTAATCCCAGCACTTGGGAGGCAGAGGCAGGTGGATCTCTATGAGTTCAAGTCCAGCCTGGTCTACATAGTGAGTTCCAGCCCAGATGGGGCTACAGGAAGACCTTGTCTCAAAATAATAATAATAATAACTTCAGAAGCCACCACCAAAATCATACATATGACTCTTGAGACTCTGAAATGTCTTCTCTCTAAGAAGCCCATGTCCACAATTTCCTAAGTGCCTTTCTCAATGCCTCTGCTTGTTTACATTAAAATTTCTTCCCAATAAAATAAATTTCAATTTTGCTTGGGGGAGGGAGATACACGCCTTCAATCTCAACACTGGGGAAGCAGAGGCAGGTCAATCTCAGTGAGATGGAGGCCAGAGTAAGGTCCAGGCCAGCTGGGAGTACAGGGAGACCTTCTCTCAAAAAGACCAAAACCAAAAAAAAACTAAAATAAATTTCACCTTTGCCTCAGGCTGGCTCCTTCTGGAATTCAGATTCAGGAAAAGTCAGGAATCCTCTGAGACCTTTGGGGAAGTGTCTGAAGGAACTATGACTCCCACTTCTGTTCCTGCTGTCAGTCTCCAGTGGGGCCAGAAGAAGTTTTACAGACAGCAGGGCATGGAGCTGTCAGGCTCAGGGCTGTATGGCAGGCAGTTTTCAGAGTCAGTGTGAAGTGGGCCATGTGTCACAGACAGGAGAAACAGATGCAGTCGGGGACAGACAGGCAGTGGAACTCTTGGCTGTGGTGATTCTCGTGGCTGAGGCTCATGGTGAGTGATATATGACAGTCAGTGCACCTCAGGTGCATCTTGGGTGCTCTGACTTTATAGCCCAGGTGAGGGGGTGACGTGTGCAGTGCGGGAGAAGCTCACGTGTCTAGTTTCTGATGATCAGTATAGTCATGGGTGTCATTATTTATTGGCACAGATCAGTTACTTTTCAGTTTGTGGCTCCTGGCAGATGGTGGTTATTTGTGTAAACAAGATGTAGGGTCTTGCTTGGACTCAAAATGGAGGACTCAGGTCGGCACTGTTGCTGTAGATGGGAGAACTTGGGTCAACTCTGAACCAGGCTTAGAAGCCACTTGGGGTGAGAAGCACTGACCCACTTGTGCCCCTCCCTTCCGCTACTGAACTATCACTTTCAAAATGATTGTGTACCCTGAAGCTAATCTCTAAAGATATAGAAGGCCTGTGCTCTCCACCTACCAAAGGAACTCCGCTAGGCCCAGAGTGGGCAAGAAGCCCACATCCACAAACCCAGTTTTTTCTCTTCCAAAATAGGGGCTCAATTGAGACCTCCGTTTTCCTATACTTGAACTTAAATAAAAAACTGGAAACAGCCTAGTACCCAGGTGCCCTTTCCTCTAGGAAAGGATGATTATCCCATCTCACAGTTAAGTTTAGGTATGCTCTTTGTCTAAGGGATCCCTATACATTTTAAAAGGGGCTGGAGAGATAGCTCTTCACATAACAGAACTTACTGCCCAAGCGCGGCCACCTGAGTTCAAACCCCAGAACCCACGTAAAAGTAGGAGAGATCCAGCTCCACAGCGTTCTCTGAGCTCCACACATGTCCAGACTTACCAATATGGCAGGTCTCACAGATAACTCTGGGGATACCCCGGCTCTGCCTTCCAAGGCTGGAATTAATTATAGCTGGGTTGTCATGCCTACCTGACATTTACCTGGGTTCTGGGGAGGCAAATTTTAGTCTTCAGCAAGCACTTCAACCACAGAGCCATCTATCTCCCTAGCCTAATTTCTTTTTTAATTTGATTTTATTACATTTTTACTTATTTTGTGTGCATGTGTTTGGATTTTGACCTGGTCTTATTTGTGTACAACACTCCAATGTCTAGTGTTAAGATCTGGAGAGTTTCTGGTAAACTTGCCATCTGGGCCTTGTTTTGTTTTGTGGTCTTGGTGCCAATTTGTAAAGAAGGTATGTTTGAAATGCATGTCACTTTGAAAGCTCAACTGAGCCATTTCCTGAACAGTAGTTTGGCTAGGAGACAAGAACATTCAGAGTTTGCTCTGATAACAGAGCACTTTTCTGATGGCCTGACTTGGCTTTCTCTTCAGTTTATGGTGTGCTCTTTATCTCCACATTGGGGTATGAAAACCGCTTGGATTAATCTTGAACCACTTAGTAGAACAAGCTGATAAGAGGTAAATTATCCACATTAGGCAGCAGGAATTTCCCTGAGGCCTTGCAAACCACAGTAGAAATCACTCCTAAAACTACTCAGGTTCAAATACAAGTATACAAACTCAGTGTGGTGGCTCAGGCCTTTAATCCCAGCACTCTGGAGGCAGAGGCAGGCAGATCTCTGTGAATTCAAGGCCAGCCTGGTCTACATAGTGAGTTCCAGGCCAGCTGGGGCTACAGGGAGACCCTGTCTCAAAAAGACCAAAAAAGTAAAAAAAAAAAAAAAAAATTAAGAGTTCCTAAGTTTTTTTTTGGTCTTTTTGAGACAGGGTCTCCCTGTAGCCCCAGCTGTCCTGGAACTCACTATGTAGACCAGGCTGACCTTGAACTCACAGAGATTTGCCTGCCTCTGCCTCCCAAGTGCTGGGATTAAAGGAATGCACCACCATGCCCAGCAATGGAACTCTTAATTTTTTAAGATTTAGTTTATTTTTATTTGCATGTGTGTGTGTGTGTGTGTGTGTGTGTGTATGCATATAATTGCAGGTGTTGGTAGAGGCCAGAAGAGGGTGTCAGATCCCCTGGAACTGGAGTTACAGGCAGTTGTGAGCCACCTAACATGGGTGCTAGAAACCAAACTTAGGTCCCCTGGAAGAGCAGCCAGTGCTTTTAACCACTGGGCCATCTCCCCAGCCCCTTGAAGATTTGT